CATTTGATAAACAGGAAAAATTAGGATTGAAAGGCTTGAATAACTTGTCCAGACCTCACAGTTGGGAAACAGTGCAGCAGAGACTCAGTCAGTTTGATCTGAGTCCAAAGTCTCTGTTCTCACCCACTACAGGCCACTTCCCTGCTTCCTCTCATCAGTATCTCTATCTCACTGTCTCTATCACTAGCTCTAATGCACAAACAAATCAGGACATAGTAAAATATAGGTAGAATAGAATAATAAGTTGAAAAGAAAGCTATACAAGCCTTAATGTCCAGGATAGTCATACAAATTTTAGAAAAGAAGGGTGAGAATGCTTTTCCCATTTTCACTACACTGTGTATGCATAAATTATTGAATTGGTGTATATTTTCAACAAGAGCAACAAAATAAATTAACAATATAAAAAATAACATTAGAACAAATAAACTCTTCAAAAGAATTATTTAAAAATATATTAAAAATGGGGAAAAAAATAGGGACTCAAATATGGCTTTGAGCTTCTTAATGCCAAAGCAGAGAAGAAAATACGATCAGTTTCACAGTTCACATGGTCTACCACGGGAATAAGGAGCCCTAGTGGTGTAGTGGAGTCCTGGTGTGGCGCTGGACTGTGAAGTCAGTTTAAACCACAAAGTTGGTGGTTCAAACTCACCAGTCGCCCCTTGGAAACCCTATACAGGGTGTCACTGTGGATTAGAAGTGACTTGATGGCACATAACAACAACAATAATAGTGTAGTGGATTACGAGCTGGACTTGTAGATCAGTTGTTTGAATCTATAAATTGCTCCATTGAAGAAAAATGAGGCTTTCTGTTCCCATAAAGATTTACAGTCTCAGAAATCCTGTACAGGGTCACTATGAATCAGAACTGACTCCATGACACACAACCACTACCACCTTCACAAGCTAATAAACTAAGAATAGCTCATTTTGGAAGATTTTATGGAGAGTATGAATTCCCAGTGTTTTAAAGGAAAGGAAGTATGCAGTTTGGTAGAAAGAATAAGTTCTTCATCAGTGATTTTCAATCAGAAGTACCTACTACCCAAGGGCATTTACCAGAATAATCTGGCAGAGGCCTTCAAATTACACATCCCCCAACCTCTGGTATAGAATAAATCATCTGGGGGCACATGAGTCTCTGTTGAGAATTTTGTCATGGTGCACTTTGTTGCTAATGAGAGTCTACTAACAAGAAAATACAGGCCACAGTCAGGTTTGTTGGAAGAAGAGGATAGAGAATGCCTATTCTAAACAAAAGACCTGGATGAGTCATTTATTCATTTAGCCATTCTAAAAGCATTTAGAATGTCATGTGCAATACTCATTCTGGGACAATATGAAATATAAAAATTAAAATGTATTGTACAATGGATAAGAATTAGGCATGTCAGGCATTGCTAGGCTTTACATATACTATTTCACCTAATTTTCACAATAACTGAGAAATAGGTGTAGTGCCCCTTTCACAGGACAGAAGGTCAGGTAGATAAAAGTCACTTCCTCAACATAAACACAAGGTTCCAGGATAGAATGAAACAGAAACTTTCTGTAGTTAAACAAGCCTACTTCCATTCTCAATTTTCAGGGCACCATTTTTATTGCATCCTATGTAAACGGTGCCCTTGGAAGCACAATGGGAATAGGAAAATAATCAACACGACCTTGATGAAATTATGATCTCAAGGGCGCATGGCCTAATTGTAGAGTGACTGGTATGCACACATTCCTAAAAACATTATAAAACCCAAAAGAGGATAACATAATTTGGAGAGATGAATTCTGCTGGAATGGAGGCTTGGTGACTCTGATGGTTAAGAATATGTGTCAGTTTGGTTGTGCTGTGAGTCTCAGAGGTTTTGAAACAGGGACACTGGGAAAGTTTGAGCTTAAAAGTAAAATGGAGAGCATGGTGACACTGTAGTATAAGTACTAGACTGCAAAACACAAGGTCAGAGGTTTGAACCATCAGTCACTCCAAAGAAGAAAGACAAGACTTTTTTCTCCTGCAAAGATTTACAGTCTAAGAAACCTTAGACAGGGTCACTATGAGTTGGAACCAACCTGACAACATGTAACCGCAACAATGTAAAATAGAACCCGAGTAATCATTTTAGAGCAGTGGATACAGTTATAAATTCACTCCCTCCCTAACTACATTTCAAAATTATTCACTTCTTTTTAATCCCTATAAAAGATCCTTGGGCTCAAATGAGAAGGGTAACTTTCCTCCTGGAAACAAAGACAAAAGCAGTAAACAGGAATGGTTGAAATGGTCGCTATGTCCCTAGACTAGACTGGACAAGAAAACCAACACAATAATGCCTGAAGAGGTTCCATGATCCTGATTTTCTCTCCCCTTAAGAACTCCAGGCTACCTTCCAGTTGGGGAGGCAGACCTGAGAGAGTCTTGCTTTTCTGTCCTCCTGTGTATGGATACTCAATAAACACTCTGCTGTTTGCTCTGAGTCCCATGTGAAAATTGGCTGTGTCAGAGGCAGGCAACTAAAAAGCCTCTTTGCAGTTGCAGTTTGGTAGTTATTATGTAGTTTGCCTTTTATGTAATGATGTAATGACATCCACAATGAGAGTCACTATGAGCAATCAATCAGTTTAAAGAGAGTGTCCTCAGGAGTGAGGACATCCTGGCAAAGCTCTTTGCTTTTTGGCTGTCTCTGGATCCTGCACCCAGCTCATCATCATCTGATCTCTGGTTCGTGGGACTTGAGCTAGCAGCCTATAGTGTGGGCCCTTGGATTTATCAGTCTCTGTAGCTTATGAGCCAGCAGCCTGCCATCTGAACTGCCAATCTCGGGTTTGACAGCCACATAAGTCAGGGGAAGCCTCTAGCTTGATGCTTGATTATTGACTTGGGATCTGTCAGTCTCAGCAATCGTGTGATAAATCTGTCTGTACCTGTATGTATTTGTAAGCTTGACTTGTTTTGCTTCCTAGAGAACCCAGGCTAAGATAGTGTCTGAAAAAGTTGTAGAAACAGCAGCATTTGAGCTGTGCGGAGAAGGATGGATAAAGTTTTGATGGGTATTGCTGCATAGTAGAGACGTCTAGTGGTGTGTTCTACCAAGCTTTTCTAGAGACTTTAACTGGAAAAGGATAGGTTAGAATATGAAATGTAGGGGACACAAATGGACAAATTAGCAAGTCTAAGCTCATACCTTTATTGATAGCTCTCCAATTCTGTTTCTTACCTCATCTTCTTAGTCAAAGAGAGGAATCCAATGTATCCTACAAGAGTGACATAACATTTTAAAATTCTATTGTTTTAGTAATTTAAGACCACAAAAAATGAAGTGGGAATTTTAAAGGAGTAAGCATTGAATTGGGTCTCTGGACCTAGTACTCTTTTATCCTTTCATTTCTACACATTTGTTGCATTTTTGAGAACTTCTTCTCCAACAGCTTTCCTATGCTACCAACTCAAGAAAAACAAAGCAGCTCTAAGAATCCAACATGATGAGGGCTTTCTTGACTGTTAGATAAGGCACTGTTCGTATCTTTCATGGCCTAGTCTCAGACACTTCTGCCCCATTCCTCATAGATGCATTGAATAGAAATGTATGGATTGGACGTGGGTGCAGCAGTTTACACACATACCACACAGAGATCATGGAAGAGAAATGAGAGTGACTTTCACTACTGTCAGGCCTACAGTATGGGGAGAATAGAAAAATGTATTCCATACAGTTGATTGCCATTTCAGAAGAGATTTAAACAGGGTCTAGAAAGTTGTTCCATAGATCGTATTGCTGCTTCGGAAGAGATCTAATTGTCCTGAAGTTCTGATCATTACCCTCATTTGACCTGTGGAGATAACCATGAGCTGTTGCCACCCCACCCAACCCAGCCACTATGACATGATGCCCCACCCAGCCAGAGAGGAAAGGTATAGTTTGTTTGTGGAAAACTCAGTCAACAAGGGAATGCCTTTTATGAAAATTCTGATGCTCCATTGGAAATCTCAGTTACGAGCAGTACTAGGAAACAAGGGTGAGCTCAGAGGATAGTGTCGTAGTTGAGATGACTTACGTGTAAAGAGAATAGAAAGAAAAAGAAAATGAAGAAAGAGTGATGAAAAGAATTTAGAGAAAGAATTGAAAAAGGAATGAAAACAAAAGATCATTAAGGGGAAGAGAAGCGATAGAATGTGAAAGTAGAAGTGAGGTTTGGGACTCCATTTTTCTCTGATTGGATTTGGTCCTGAAGTTTGATTTGGGTGTAGTGGTTAGGAGATGCCATTCCTGAGGGCCTGGCATCTGTTCCTTCTTTCCAGAAGTCATATTCTTTTGTCTGTGCTGTTGTTTCTGCTGGTATTCAGGTTCAACTGGGCCTGTAATACCAAAAGGTTGTTAGAAAGTAGGATGGCAGTACCAGGTAGCTAGTTTTATTGCTAATTTCTGCCTATTCTATTTGTTTCCTGAAGTTTTTCCTGAAGGTTTGGGTTGTTAAAGTGCTGTGGAATCAGTTCTGACCACTAGCAACCCTGAAAAGGGTTTCCGAGGCTATAAATCTTTATGGGAATAGAAGCCTTATCTTTCTCCCACGGAGCAGTTGGTAGTTTCAAACTGCTGACTTTGCGGATCACAGCTTGATTCATAACCACTAAGCTACCAGAGGGTTAGTTGTATGTATTTACTAATAAACATACATTTGCATACCCAAAGCCTTTTTGGTGTGACTGAGTGAATGCTGTCAAAGAAGAAAGGTAGCTAAAGTATGAATTATTTTGAAAACAAATTAGGGGATAGTCATTCATATTAAAAAAATATTTGGTTTGTTGAAATTTAGTTTATGCAAGATATTGCAATTGATCTTAGAAAGTGAGAGACTATAGTAGGCATGATATCCTCTTAGCTCGGTCTTATTTGAACAAAATGTTCAACTTTTACCTGCTCTCTCCTTAACTCATTATTCAGTGATCATGAGTGGCTTCATTTCCATAACCAATATTTGCATTAACATTGTAGGAAATCTACAATGGAAGAAGTTGGACAGGATCCACTGGATGATACGTAAGTGATAACAATGTAAAGGAATTCAGTAGAATAATTGTTTGTGTTCAAGCGGTAAGGATGAATTGTATTAATTCTGCAAGACATTTTCTCCTCAAGCCTGGGAAGGCTTCCTTTGGGAAAAGAGCCTCTGATTTCATTTATTTATTTATACTACAGGATAATGGTGGGGTTTTTGTATATAGCTAATGTCTCCATCGAAGGAGCTCTGGTAGTGTAGTGGTTATGAATGGGGCTGTGAACCTTAAAGTCAGCGGTTCGAAACTACCAGCTGCTCCGCGGGATAAAGATGAGGCTTTCTACTCCTGTAAAGATTTACACCCTCGGAAACCCTGTACAGGGTCGCTATGAGTCAGAACCTACTCGATGGCACTTAACAACAAGAATGTCTCCATCAGCACATCAATCTTGTTTGGAGAAAAGAGCCACTTCCTTCCTTTTACCTGGCCCCTGCATCTATCTAACTGGGTTAGAAGATACTTAAGCAGGTAACAGAAAGAGACTAAGGAGATTTTTCTCCCATGAAAATCTTTAAAAGCTTTATAGAAATGATGCAAGTTACACATACTCCACAAAAACTTTTTTGAAAACATGTAACTTATTTTTGTTAGACATTTTTACATGCTCTACAACCTGAGATTTATTTTCATAATTATAGCAATATTTCTTACATGTTGATAGCTCCAATTTTTATTTTTTTCCCTATCAACTGACTTAATGTTAAGTCATCATCTGGGTGCTTGTTAACAGGTAGTCTTGATTCCCAACAGTAGACCCCTGCTAACCTACCCTCAAGTCTCTAAAGCAGCCACTCTTTTTTTTCCTTTATTGACTATGCAAAGGCTTTGTTTTTTCCCCCCAATGTTTTATTGTGAATTATGTGATAGTTTACATGGGAAAACATTAACTTTACATTCATCCTATCATATATCATTATATTGCCATGGTTACAATCCTCTCCATGCATCATCAACCAACCAAATGGTATACCCCACAAGCCTGCCCCGCCCCGGTCATCAGCACACAGCCCCTCTTTGATCACCCAGTCATTGAAGCCAGGTCAAGTGGGTATTATCTGCAAGTGTGGGTGTTCCTGTGCATATGCCCTCTCTTCTTATCAGCTAAACGCTTCACTCTCCACTCCAGTCCTCTGTGGCTATGTCACTGACTCTGGGCCCAAGAGTACCCAGGTCTTGCCACACTGCTGGCCAACCAGGTCTCCACCTGGGTTCACAGGAGTCTATTGAATGTGGTTGGACTTAGCTCGCAGCATCATTGCTGTTTTTCCCTCACTTCGCCTTATTGGTGACCAATGTGCTCACCAGTCAGAGCACATGTCTGCTCGTGTATTCCCCTTGAGTCTCAGTCTTGGAAGGGGGTTTGTCCTGAGGGGACCTGACTGCTTGCCTTGATGTCTTCTGGGCCAGCAACTTGCTTGTTCTTGTAGTAATCAGTCGGACTGCCGTTATTGTTTTGTATCTTTCCTGTTGGTCTTTCTTTCAAGAAGTATCTTCTATTCTTTTAGAGGTACCAGACTGGTCAGATTGTCCTTTCCAGTGGAAATTTCCCACCTCAGAAGATTCTGGATAGGGTTCAGGATTCCACCTATGGTCTTACGTAATGCAGAAGCTTCACAGAATGCCTCCTTTACTGGGCACGTTGTAGCCCCATTTTAGGTATTCCAATCAGTTATAGGCAGAAGATGGACTTAAAAGCTTTCTATGGTGAAATGTCTGGCTTTTCCTTTCTCTCCCCCTCAAGTGTCTATTTTATAATGATATGCCAGGGAAACCAAGATTCAAAAGACAGCCAAGCATCTTAACATTATTTTCCCCCCTTTGCCCATCCCATCCCTGTATCCCAGAGCCCTGTTTTTCCAAGGTTGTGCACACATCATTATTTACCTCTGTCCCACTAAGCCCATGCAAACATGCCTAATAGTTTGCCCATCTACCTTGTTCTTCCATTCCCCTCACCTTTCTTGCATATTGCCCCCCTCCCCAGCACCCAAACTATTCCTGCGTCTATTCCCTACACTGTGCTCCACCTTCCCCTTGGTCCCATCACCCCACCCCCCACATCCCAGTAACCAGCAAAGAATCCCACTCTCCTTTAGTTTGGGTTTTTTTTTTCTTAGTCTTTTATAGTAGTGGTCCTATGCAGTATTTCTCCTTTTGTGACTGACTAATTTCACTCACCATAATGTCCTCAAGGTTCATCCATGTAATGTGATAGCTTATAGATTCCTTGTTGTTCTTCAAGGTAGCATAATATTCCATTGTGTGTATGTACCACAGTTTGTTTATCCATTCTTCAGATGATGGGCACTTAGGCTGTCTCCATCTTTTTGCTACTGTAAATAGTGCTTCTATGAACATTGATGTGCATATATCTACTCATGTTATGGCTTGTATTTCTTGTGGGTAAATATGAAGTAGAGGGATTGCTGGATCATAAGGTATTTCGATTTCCAACCTTCTGAGGAAGCACCATATTGCTTTCCAGAGTGCTTGGACCATTTTTCAATCCCACCAGCAATGCAGAAGCATCCCAGTCTCTCTCCACATCCTCGCCAGCATTCATTGTCCTCTACTTTTTTGATTTTTGCTGTTATTACTGGTGTGAAATGATATCTTATTGTTGTTTTTATTTGCATTTCTCTAATGGCTAGTGATCATGAACATTTCTTCATATGTTTGTTGACTGCCTGATCTCCTCCTTGGTGAAGTGTCTGCTCATGTCCAGCACCCATTTTTTAATTAGGTTATTTGTCTTTTTCTTGTAGAGGTGTTGTAGTTTCCTATATATTTTAGAAATGAGTCCCTTGTCCGATGTATAATTGCAAAAGATTTTTCCCATTCTGTGGGTTCCCTTTTTACTCTTCTCTTGAAGTCTTTTGATGCACATAAGTTTTTGATTTTTAGTATGTCCCAACCATTTATTTTGTCCATTTTTGTTTGTGTAGTTTTCAAAATGTTTGGTAGTCTGTGTATTCCCTGAATTAGTGCCCTCACATTTTTCCCTATTTTTTTTTCATTGATAACCTTCATAATTCTGGGACTCATATTTAGGTCTTCAATCCATGCTGAGTTGCTGTTCGTATAAGTCTTGAGGTAAAGGTCTTGTTTCAATCATTTGCACATCATTTTACAGTTCTGCCAGCACCATCTGTTGAAGAGACTATCTCATCCCCATGCGATATATTTAGGTACTTTGTTGAAAATCAGTTGGCTGTATGTGGATGGGTTAATTTCTGGATTCTTGATTCTGTTCCATTGATTAATGTATCTTTCATTATACCAGTACCAAGCTGTTTTGACCACTGTAGCTGTGTAGTAAATTTTGAAGTTGAGGAGCAAGAGTTTTCCAAGCGTATTCTTTTTCTTAAGCAGTGCTTTACTTATCCTTGGTCTCTTTCCTTTCCATATAAAGTTTATAATTGTTTTTTTCCATCTCTTTGAAGCATGTCGTTGGAATCTGGATTGGGATTGCATTATATGTGTAAATTGCTTTGGGCAGTATTGACATTTTCACAATGTTCAGTCTTCCTATCCAGGAGCATGGTACATTCTTCCATTTTTGTAGGTCTCTTTTGGTTTCTTGTAGTGGTGTTTTGTAGTTT